AGACAAGTTGCTGTCCTTTTGTTCTTCAGTCTAGTTGTGGAGGACGTCGCTTCACTGGCCCATGTTGGTATTATCATTGAGCTCTTCCCGGGTGAGGCAGATTGGTCGTCGGCCACTGGATGGCCGCTCACGGCGGCTCTTGGCAGCTCACGACAGCTGCTGGCCATCATGCTGGCTGCCAGCCACTCATGGTAGCTTATGGCAGCCCACTGCAGCCTCACTGCAGCCTGTGCCGACGCCGGCGACTCACGGCAGCCTGGCTCCAGGTTGAGCTACTGCTCACCATCTTGGCTGTAGAGGGCAGTGTCACTGGCCCTCATGTGGGATCCGATCTGGGGACCTGATGCTCAGAGCTGGTGTCCCAAGCCAACTCTTAACCAACGCGCCACTTGGCCGGCCCCTCATCTATCTATCTTATTGAGATAGACAATTGTTAAATCCAAAATTCTCTGTAATTTTTTTAAAAAGCAGTTTCTTGACATGTTTTTAGCCAATGTTCCTTTTTGAAAATAAGTAATAAGATTTATATTCATTTGGTACTTTTGAAACATATTCAGATATAAACCAGAGACTGATTATAATATTGTCTTTATTAATTTGCTCCATTAACGAAACTTTTTTCTTTTTTATAATAAATATAATTTGTCCTATCATACATATTTTAATATTTGTATAACTGGTTCCTTTTTTATCTAGCACTTAATGGAATATGGAGGCAGGAGTACATGAATAACAGAAAAAATAGTATAGTTCTTATAGATAAAATGGTATATAAGTGAGGAAACAACATTTACTCAAAAAATGGTTACATAAACCAGTAATATTGCTTATGATGGATATTTGGAAAGTTAAAGGCAACAATATGACATCTATTTAAAGAAGAAAGATCTTGTATAAATTTAACTAGTTGGAAAAAGGTTCAAGTAATACATGTGCTTTGGTTTGGAATTTGCAGAATAGTTGAATTTGAATTAGCAATAGGAGGGTTGATTAGCAATAGCTTGACAGTAGAAGTAAAATAAAATAGGAAACAAAAATAAAAATGAAAAATTTTACTGTCGTTTAACAAGGTAGAAGGAAGATGGGTTGCTCTAGGGTATGTTTCATTGTGAAAGGGCACATG